ACGGTACGAAAGTGCAAAAACGCATAATCGCTCCGGCCCGCCTGGTGCGTTCCAGCCTGGGTTGTATAATCCAAATAACAGTGTACTGCTCTAAACCGTGCAGCTTAATATCGAAAGGCTTTTTTAAAAATAATTTGAATTTTTTTAAATAATAATAATACTACACAATAAAAACTGACAACTGATGAGCATTTTGCGCCAGTAAGTGGCACCTGCGAAAAGTTAGCGACCACTCTGGCCTTTGAAGAGTATATGTGTCGAACATGAGATGGGTACCAACTGAAGGACTGCAGCTTAACACAGAGAGGCTGACACACCTGGTTTATTCTCACTAAAATTGTTAACATATCCGTGCAGCAATTTTCCGGCCGGTCTTGGTAATTGTGGTAGCAATAAAAACCATAGCTATATAAAGTATTGTTTTTTTTTCTTTTTGAAATTCATACTACTGTATTTTTGATTCATGTCAAGAATGTCGAAATAGCCTGGACAATCGGTGTGGGGATCCTGTAGTAACACTATTATTACTGGGATGCTGTCGTACACTAAGCGCAGCTAATCCCAGATACTTCGATCCTAAGCTGCATATCTCTTGTTAATATCCATCGCCGTTTCGGTAGACCTGAAATAAAGTTTAACGAGTGATTTTACTAATTACACGGAGGATTCTTTAGATCAGAAAATTTTATTGGCCTTCCTAAAATCAAAGACAGTTTACTGAAATTTGAAAATTTAGAATCAAATTGGAAGATTTTGCGGCAAAACGCAATGAATTGCTTGCTGATTTGGCCGATTTTCAACAATCCAAGCAGTTTATTGAAGAAACGATGAAGACAATCAGTGATTTGAATGAGGAGAAAGATGCACATAGTGAAATGATCCAGCAAATCAATATGGTATCTTCGTTGATTTGCTTTAAAAAATGTTTCAGCGGATCAGTAGTGTTTTGCTTTATGATAATGTGCGTCTGGAAGAGCTTTTTTCCCGGAAAAAAATCTCTTTTTCATTTTTTATCTCGTCCACAGATCTAGGAAATGTTTTGAATTCTTAGTGCACTTTTCGATTTTTATGTAGCTTATTTATACTACATTTTATCTTTAGAATATTCCCTGCACTACCCCCACTTCTCTGTAGAAGACTGAATTCACGCAAATGTAACGTTTGAGTTAAGAAGGTAAATGGCGTACTGAAATTTAGCCGCTACTTTTTGAAAGTCGCCAATGAATTTCAGTTAAAATAATCGAGCTGTTTGGTTATTTTTACTGAAATTCAACAACCCTAAAAGTTTGATGTGAAACCTTAGAGTTACTGGGTGGATTTCTGGCAGGAAGTGGACCTCACTCCAGGGTCATCCTAGATATTGTGAAGCTGTTATTTTTACTTAAACTTTAAGCTATAGTAAAAATTTTTATGCGCTGGAAAGGGAGGAAGGAACTTGAGTGGTGGACTGTTAGTGTGGCATGGTGCCTTGGCTGTATACGTTTATGGCTTACTGGTGATGAAGCAAGTAAATAGCAAGTACTCGGAATGTAGCGCTCGGGATCTGACGATTCTAAGGGCTTGCTGGGCAAGAGATTTTCAGCACTGGATAAGCGAATAGATGAATAGGTTTGGCCCTCAATTGTAAGAGCTGAGGTCGGGTTGAGTGACGAAAATGGTGTTATCAGTTGACAAGTACCCAAGAAAGAAAAAGAATCCATGGCTTCGATGGAAGGAATGGGTGGCTTATAAAGGGGAGGATGTAATAGTTTTTTGGAAGGTTAAAAACGTATCAAAATGAGAACAAAGGCTGGAACGCACCAGGCGAGCCGGTGCGATCATGCGTTTTTGCATCAAAAC